TTTTTTTTAAAAAAGAATCTGATCATTCCTCTCCATCTGCACAGCTACCCTGGTTCAAACCACTAACATCTCTCACCTGTACTATTGTATTAGCCTCTTAACTGGTCTCCCTGTCCATGCCTCTATTCAGTTTATTTTCTTTTTTTTTAATGTTTACTTATTTTTGAGAGAGAGAGAGAGTGAACAGGAGAGGGGCAGAGAGAGGGAAGACAGAGGACCTGAAGCAGGCTCTATGTTGACAACAGTGAGCCTGATGTGGGGCTTGAACCCACAAATCACAAGATCATGACCTGAGCCGAAGTCAGACACTCAACTGACTGAGCTACCCAGGCACCCCATTCGGTTTTTTTTCAATGCAACAGCTATTATAATCCTGTTAAAACATAAGCTAGGGGGTGCCTGGGTGGCTCAGTCAGTTAAGTGTCCAACTCTTGATCTTGGCTAAGGTCATGATCTCACAGTTTATGAGATCCAGCCCTGTGTGAGTCTCTGAGCTGACAAGTGTGGATCCTGCTTGGGATTCTCTCTCTCCCTCTCTCTCTGCCCCTCCCCTGCTCATGCACACACACACTCTCTCTCTTTCAAAATAAATAAATATTAAAAAAAAACCCACATAAGTTAGATAATATTATTCCTTTGCTCAAAGTCCTCCAATAGCTATCTATCCTACTTTGAGAAAAACCAAAGTCATTATGATAGCCTACAATGGCCTGCACAGTATGATTTCTGGTTACTTTCTGACCTCATCTTTTACTCCTCTTTCTCCTGCTGATTGCACTCCAGCCACACTGGACTCCTTGCTGTTCTTCTAACACATGAGGCATAGTAGGCATTTACCATCCTCTCTGTCTGGATCATTCTTCTCCCAGATATCTACATGGCTTACTCCCTTACTTTCTTCAGATATTTCTCTAAATCCAAATGTCATCTTATTGATGAGGCCTTCTCTGACCATCCTATTTAAAATTTTAACCTTTCTTCCACCTCTATCCCTTTTTAGTTTTATTTTTTTAAAATGTTTATTTATTTTTGAGACAGAGAGAGACAGAGCATGAATGGGGGAGGGGCAGAGAGAGAGGGAGACACAGAATCGGAAGCAGGCTCCAGGCTCTGAGCTGTCAGCACAGAGCCCGACACGGGGCTCGAACTCACGGACCGTGAGATCATGACCTGAGCTGAAGTTGGACGCTCAACCGACTGAGCCACCCAGGCACCCCTGGTTTTATTTTTATTAACACTGATCCCTAACACCTGTACATTTTACTTCTTTAGTTGTAAATTTCAAAAAGGCCAGATATTTGTTCTTTTTGTTCACAGATATATCTTCAATGTATAAAACAGTATCTAACATATAATAAGCCTTTCAATCAAAATTTGTTGAATAAATAAATGAAAAGTCAAGGGGATAACTCCAGGCATGGTTGGATTCAGGTTTTCAGCATGTTACTAGAACTATGTCTCTGTCTCTTAGCTTTGCTTTCCCCAGCAGGCGTGAGGTGTGATGGGTGATGGCATGATGGCCACCAGCAGCTCCAGATTTACATTCTAACAATCCAGTAGCCCTAATGGAGAGTATCTTTTTCCTGACTGTTCCAGTGAAAGCCTTGGAAATGAGCCTTATATTCTGGGTTTGGGTCAAGTCTAAAACAGTCTCTGACGATAGGGCAAGAAAATACTGTGGTAAGGCCTGGGTCATAGGGCCCCTTGGAAAGGGGGTGAAGTTCAGCTCTATTTGGACTGAGAACAGGGGACTGGGGGTTCCCTAAGAATAAAGGGGGTGCTTATTACTTGAAGAGGAGGGATGGAAGCTAGGCTAGCAGAAACAACAAATGTCCATCACATCATCAGTGATGACCCATCAGCAGACCTGGCCCAGAATAGCATTCTTCTGCACCTCCCTTTTCATGTCCAGTCAGATCAACCTCTGAACTTTTGTAAGACTCTCTCCTCCTAAATGCCTTTTCACCTGTCTCTGTCAGTTAAGGTCTTCCTCATCCCTCAGTGCCCAGTTCAAATAAGAGTCCCTGGAGATAACTCTTAACAGATGTGGTCTCTCCGTGTCCTGAGCATTCTAATTGTTTTAGCATCCTACTTCTCTTGTAGTTAGCTTTACACACTATGCCCTGTATTTTACTTATTTGTATACTTTACGAGCTCCTTGCGGGAAAGGGCCGGGTGCATTTCCCGGATGTCCAAGCAGGCGCCTCACACCTTCAGCAACCACGGTGATTCGATTCGTACCGGGGCCGCCAGGGCGCGCTAGGCGCCAGGCGCGAGGCCGCCGGGGGGCGGGAGGCGCTGCGATTGGCAGGTACGGCCGTCAATCAGGCGCGGGGGGGGGCGGGGCGGGAGGGGGGGGGGGGGGGGGGGGGGGGGGGGACGCCCGGGAGGCTGGGCCCAGGCGGGCAGTCCTGCATGAATGGGAGGATGGCGCGCAAGCTGCGTCAGCGCACGGGGGAATCCAGAGTCTCAGCCGGGAGTGGGTGGGAGGAAGCGAGGGGGGGTGCAGGGAAGGGAAAGAGCGCGAGGGGGCGGGGAGGGGCAGCGGCAGGAGCGGCGCGCCGAGAGCGGCGAGGCGGCGGGTGTGAGCGAGAGCGGTGGCCGGCGTACGGGTCGCTTCGGTGCCGCTGTCCGCTGCGCTGCCTCCGCCCTCGCCGCGCGCCACCGCCTGCGGGACCCTGTGGAGCTCCCAGCGCCCCTCACGGGGCAGAGGAGTCGAGACTAGGGGAGCCGGCGCAGAGGGAGGAGCCGGGTCGGAGCTGCCGAGCCCAAGGCCCCCGGGCGTGGAGGTGGGGGGCTGAGGCCCCCGAGGGGGCCCCGCCGCGATGGGCAACCTGGAGAGCGCCGAGGGGGGCCCGGGCGAGCCGCCTTCAGTCTCGCTGCTGCCGCCGCCCGGCAAGATGCCGATGCCTGAGCCCTGTGAACTGGAAGAGAGGTTCGCCCTGGTGCTGGTGAGAGCTGAGCCCAGTCCCTTCCCCCTCTTACCGTCTCCGAGGTCCCAGCGCCCAGGGTAGGACTTTGCCCGGGTTCCCCCATCCGGCCCACCCCTTAAGGGGGGCGCTTCCGACAGACTCAGTGCCTTCTTGGCAACCTCTGAGCAGCCGCTGGCCGCCCGACAGCCCCGTCGGGGACCTCTCGACCGCGGCCTCAACCGCTGGACACTTCGGAGGAGGGGTCCTCAGCCTGGGACCTCCCCAGGATCCACGCTTCTCCCTCCTCCCAGTCCCCTTCTCTGCAACCCTCTCACTTCTCCCCACTTCCCCGACAGCCTTCCCGGGTCCCTGGAATTCTCACTTCTAAGTCTCTGGCTGGTGCGGGGAATTCAGAAACTTGGGGCCGGCCCCTTCCTCAGCTTAAGTCAGGGTTCTCGGACTGGGAAGACTGCCTCTCGTTAACATGGAGGCTTCCCAGGGAGTGGGTCCCACTTCTAGCCTAGACCAGATGTTTGGGGAGAGCGGTGGGGGGGACGGAGAGGGGGCTGGGAGCTCTTGAAGGGGGTGGAATAAAGAGTGATGCCATTCTACTTATTTTCAGAATGGCCTGCAGGCATCCTGCAAAGTTATAGTGGATTTGCCTAAAAGGCTGAACATGTGGATAAGCCATTTCACCAGTGTATTTTTCCAATTGAAACAATACACAAACTATCCCGCCTCCCTTTTTTTCTCCTTCTTTTTATGTTAAGCCCTGGTGGCTGGTTTGTGTTCTTTGCCTGTGCTTCTTTTTAGGCTTTATGTAGGTTCCCCAAAGACCTGTGTAGATGAATTTTAAGCTGACTTTGGGAATCTCCTTTGGTGTGGGAATTGGACATTGATGTCAATGGCCCTGTGGATAGAGAGGATCTGAGCTGGTATCACTGAGATGGAGCCAGAAAATATGTTGGAGGTAAAAATGAAGTTTTGGAGAAAGAAAGTGAACTAGGTGACAGAACATTTGCTAGGAGAGGTAAACCTTTGAGAAACTTGGGGAAATAGTTCCCAGTTCCTCAAAGAACTCTCTAAAGGGGTTAATGCTGCTGTTATTGTTGGTATGGCCTGAAGGGCCGTCTTTGCCTTTGCCCATGCGGAGGGAATAGTTGTGGACTTAGCAGCCTTATTGGATTACATCTGCCTTGGAATTGGGAGATTAGATCTGTTGGCATCAGTGGGACTGTCTAGAGATCCTGGCCTCTCCGATGGTGGAGAGCCTGACATTAGCCCACTGGCACCACAGCCAGCTTAGAGGCATTCCAAGGGGAAGTGGTGTTACTGGCACCTCTCGGCCCCGTCAGGTCTGCAGAGGGCCAGAGGGATCTGGGCCACACATCCTGTGGCCCTCTGCATTTCCCCCAGCCTCCTCAAGGGGTTGGGTGAGTCAGTGATTACTAACATGCTGTGGCCAACTCAGAGGCTGAGGAGGAGAGATTGAGATTTGGTGCCCTTGAGAACAAGAGCTCAACTGTTGGGAGAACGAGTGGGAGGGAATCTGTACTCCAGTGGGGGTGTGAAACCCCCCCCAGTGAGCTGACAGGAGGTAGTTACAGAAATTGGAGAGAAAGGGATGGTTCGAGGTGGACTGGGTGGGGAGCTGCCTTAGATAGGGGCTGCCAGGCTACCTGCCAGGTTGTAAGAGCTCAGAACCAGAGTCAGTCATGTCCTCACTGGAGCTTGGTTGACAAGTTTGTTTAGTTAGTTGGCAAATTGATGGCTTAATATCTACAAAATGCACATGGTGTCTTGATTACTAACCAGAGCACCCAAAGAGCACAGGTCAAGCCAGAGACAGGACCACCCACTTGCAAGTTATACTATCTGTATAAAGTTTTGATTTGTTTCGTCTTGGCTTTTGTTTTGGTCTTGTTTCTGTGTGCCTGAGCTGCTGCTGTTGGGGGGTTGGGACAGGGCAGGCCAGGGCTAGTTAGCTGTCTTATGGGAGGAGGGGATTTTACCTCACTTTTCCAACACAGGAAAATCATGCTTTCTTGGGAATTTGAGTTCTTCTCTGGGGGCACTTAGAGAACTCTCTTTCCTCTGCTTCTGAAACATGCCCTTTTTTGCTATCCTTCTTTCTACTATCCTACTGTTTGGGAACAGTACTGGCTGTTGGATACTTGAACCTAGAGCAAGCTCAGGTGTATTTCTTGAATAGTCAGGAGAAGCATATTGTAGTAGAAAAAGCAAGGTCTGTCTTAGTAACTGTCTTCACCTCTCTGAGCCTCATTTGTAAATTTTATAGATTTCCTTATCTAGAAAATGGGGTAATAATCTCTGTCCTGGTAGGTTTATGAGAACTAGATGAACCATGTATATAAGGCCCTTGGTACCCAGTAGGTACTCAGTATAGATTAGCTTTTTTTTCTTGATTGTGAGTCAGACAAGTTGCTGCTTTCTTACTTTTTTCTTTCCCAGATTGTTAACATCACTATGATTGATTTGGTTTATGAAAAAGCTATTTGGGAGTTTGTTGAAGTGTCTTGGTTAAGCGTATGGATGGATTTTCAAATCAAAGTAGGCTGAAATACTGGCCTCTCCACAGTCTCTAGTTAGAAAAGTGTTTGGACTTAAGCAAGTTGCTTAATATCTTTGAGTCCCAGTTTCTTATAAATGGAGATAATAAGAGTAATTGCCACATGAAGTTGCTTTGTGCATATAATGAAACGGGAAGTCAAGTACTTAGATAGCAGAGTCTGGCATCTACTATATGCTCAGTAAGTGGTAGCTTTTAAATTTGTAGCTCCCAGCAGTGACTCAGATCTGAGATCACTGGTATTCCCAAAAAGGATTTTAAGTTTAGAAATCTGATGAAACCAATTACCCTGTTCTGTGTAGCTAGACTCAGGATATGCCATCTGCTGTCAGATGGAGGGCTTCCCCCAATTCCACTGTATCTGTGGAAACGTATCTGTGGAAACTCCCCCCTGAAAAGAACACTGGCTGGGAAAGTTGTATCATTGTGAGTCAAGACCACAGGCTCCCAGCTTTCTGGTGTAGACACATGATCTGACCCACAGCCTGTCAGCCAACGTTGGAGAGCTCAAGGTCTGAGGCCATGAGGTGATTTGTTCAGGACATTGATGGCAAGAGTCCTAACCCAGCCCAGTGCCCTAATGCAAGGCTTCCCTACTGCTATGCTGGGATACTAATTCCCTTATCCCTGGGGGCAGCTGAGGTCCCTGATTGGTCACCTCTGATTGGGATTAGTTCTACCATTTATCCCATGTGCTGTACAAATAGTATTATTTTCTAGGTGTGCCCTAATATGAAAAATGGTTGTGAGTCTGTGTTATGCTGTTTCTTTGGGTTCCTTCCTTACCCACCCTGTCTGAGCAGCAGCTCCTATTGAGTACTGACAAGTTTAGGGATGCTGCAGCTATTGGAGCTTCTCTATTAATACCAGAATGAGAACCTATCTCTGGTCTGATAAAGCCATAGTCTGTGTTTTGGTCCCAACTAGATTACTACCCAAGCTCAGTTTCGCACAAATTAGTATTCTGGCCAGTACTGGCCTTTGCTTAGATAGAGACGGGAGGCAGAGGGCTTTAAGAGCTTTGGAAGGATAGCCGTCTGCCCTTGTGTTTGTACCCTCATTTTTCTCTTTGCTGACTTATTACAAACTTGAAACAGAGTCCAAAGGTTCTGATGCCAGAAAAAAACCCTGGATATCCCTTAGGAGGAGGCTCTCAGGGCCTAAGGGTGGGGTTGTATGACAGAGCCTGTCCCTACCATGGGTCCTCCTCTCACATTTCCCTGGTGATGACTGATGGCTTGGGGTTTTGCTGTAAGTGTAGCATTGATGTGGGAGCTAAGCTAAACTGGGTGCTAGTTGTCTAAGAGGCTTTGAGGGCCTCCTTTGACACAGAAAGGGGCTGGGAAAAACTTGGACTAAATATCAAGTTCCAAATGGCCATGGTGGAAATTTTTTTCCCAGCCCTGGGGATTGTGGTGAATTAGTTCGGGCTGGAATAGGACATGGGGGAGGGAAAGGACCCTTGACAGCAGCTGGTCAGAGGAACCCCTTGCTCAGAGACCCCACTGAGAAGACCTTAGGAGCCTCATTCCCTTGACCTTCCCATATGACCCTGCCTTAGACTGGGAGAAGTGTGTGGGGTGGAGGCAATAGGACTGACGGAGTGGACTTCTTGTCATTTGGGAATGTTTTCTTTGCTCAGAGGGAGTTTCAGCTTTTTTTCTTTTTTCTCTTAAAGTAGTACTCATTCCCTGAGAAAAGTATGGGTGATTTAGAAAGGAGAAAAGATTAGAGATTTATATTGAAGAAAAACATCCACATTTTCTTTTCTTTTTAAATTTTTTTTTTAACGTTTATTTATTTTTGAGACAGAGAGAGACAGAGCATGAACAGGGGAGGATCAGAGAGAGAGGGAGACACAGAATCTGAAACAGGCTCCAGGCTCTGAGCGGTCAGCACAGAGCCCGACGCGGGGCTCGAACTCACGGACCGTGAGATCATGACTTGAGCCGAAGTCAGACACTTAACCGACTGAGCCACCCAGGCGCCCCCATCCACATTTTCTCTAGTTCCTTTACCAAATGGAGCCAATGCGTTTTAAAACTTTTCATATTTTTCTCTGCATAAGGTTTTGTACAGTGTTGTAATATTGCTATGTATATATTTTTAATCCAGTCTGGGGTGGTGTTTTGTTTGTTTGTTTTGGGGGGGGGGGGTTGGCTTTGTTATTTCACTAGTTTTCCCAAGCTAGTCATTGTAAACATTTTTAAATGCTTGTACAGTGGTGCCTCAAGTGAATGTACCATTGTGTACTTAACTGTTCTATTGTTGGACATTTAAGTTGTTTGCTTCTGTTTGCCATCATAAACAATGCTGTGATGAACATCTTGGTGTACAAAACCTTTTCAATATTTAGAGTTTTCCTTAGGATAGAAATCCAAAATTGAACTCGCTAGGTGGTAGGATATAAAATTTTTCAGGTCCTAAATACACATTGCCAAATGTTTTT